AATTCATATTTGTTTCAAATATTATTCGATTTGTTCAACCCAATTTTTTCCATGTTACTGTATCAATTGCGTTCACGTCATGAAATGTGCTTAAAATGCAAAATAAGTAAATGATTTTTATTTAAAATAAAAAAATATCTAAATTAATGATAAAACACACACACACACACGCACACACAAATATATATAGTAGCAGTTTTACTAACTCTCGTGTCTTGGTGTAATGTACGGGTGTTAAAATATTAAGAAAATTAATTTTAGCTTTAATTTTAATTTTTACATAATGCGTAAAACACTCCATCGCCTGTAAGACTCCCTCGTCTATAGTATAATGATTTTTCTAATTCATATTATATAATATACTTGGTGTATATGTATTTAACTGATGAATTAGAGTTATATTATCTTCAAATTAGGATTGAAGATAAATTATTTTTATTTATAAAGATGGGTATAAAAATTTCTTTGATATATGCACAGTATGAATGTCAAATCTCACATTATGACTAATCTGATATATTATGTATATGAAAACTTGATAACAAATAAAAAATATTAAATTTTAAGATACATTTACACTTTATGTTGATCAAGTGTTTGTTAATTTTAAAATTCCTAATAAAAAGTCTAGTTCCATATGACTACTCCGAAGCATTAGAAATTGACATATCTATATATATATAAAGGTTTGATTATTTTTTAAATAGTAACTATTTCCCTCCAAAAAAAATCTATTTACTATTTTGAGAAATTAATTTAGCAATTTATGGTATGTTTTAAAATTCACTTATGGAAATTGCGGCTCATTATTTAAGAAAATAAATATGCCATATAAAAATTCTTAAGATACTTTAATTACTCAAATTAATTTAACAATTTATGGTATATTTCAAATAATCACTTATGGTAAATTCACTTTTAAGATATCTCGTGTGAATTGGCTGATTTACCCAAATATGAAAATTTCGACTGCAATATCAATTATGTGATTTGATAAAAAAATTCCCAACTAAATTGTATAATTTATTATTTGATAAGTGTTTTATATTCGTGAAATTCTTTTGTGAAATACATTTTTAATATACATTAATTTCACAAATTATGTAAATCCGACTGATTCATTCAATTTGTAAATAATTACTACAATTATAAAATATCGACAACAGTAATTAATTATGCAGTTTGCAAAAAACTATTCTAAAAAATTGTATTAATGACAATTTTTATTTAAATATTATTTAATAAATGTTATTTATTTTTTGTGTATTTGATTGCTCAAATCGTGGATAATTAAACAAATATCATGTAAATTCGGTTGACTTATTTAATTATAATTTCTTATAAAATTATTCTAAAATAATTGTGTTATTGGTAGTTTCTATTTAATTACTCTTTAATAGCTATTTTTTGGGTCTTTTTTTTCTTTTTATCTATAATAAATGTGTTGTACGTTGTGCAATTAATTTCGTGGTTAAACTGAATATCATTTTTTTGTATTTTATCGATAAAGTATGAAATCAAATTATTTGGTATATTATATATTGATCCAATATACCCGCTTATGGTCTCTCCATATTTTTTTTTCATATTGCCAAACATTTTACTCGATATTAATGAAAGAAAAATCTGGATAATATTATATTCGATTCTTCTTTGTAAATGTGCGTGGAACATATCAAATTATGTAGTGTGTGTGTGTATATAAAGATTTGTTTTTACTTAAATCACATCGTAGTCAAATTCAATTTCTAAATAAAAAATTTAAAATGGCACATATTTTGAAATGAATATAATGCAACTTATTATAAGTTACTTGCACCGTACGGGTCGTGTACTAATTTTAAATAGACATGTTTTATGTAATTTTGCACAATTTAAATTTTATATAACATTTTCAACAAATTAATATAGATAAATTGTATTAAATATTAATTCCATATTTCTAATTTATAAATATCATTTAATGAGCATTTATAATTTATAAATATTAATGAATATTTCCTACCCGTACATCGCACGGGATTCGTACTAGTAAGATTACGAAACACCAAAAATCAGAATTGAGTTTTAAAAATCACCAGAAGTTGGCACTTGATCTATCTCTGCAAAAAGACTTTCTTGACTCTAAATTACAACGTACTCCTCATTGAAAGTATGAATTTCAAATGTGTACATGCAGATTATTAAATGGGATGACCATTATGTATCAAACATAGCTGGGGAAATCTCTCTACTATGTGGATTGGCCTTGTGGGTGACAACTTACCCTAACATAAGAAGGAAAATGTTTGAGTTGTTTTTCTACACACACTATCTCTACATTGGCTTCATCATCTTCTTTATACTGCACATTGGAATTGGCTTCGCCTGCATTATGCTCCCTGGTTTTTATCTCTTTGTCATCGACCGATACCTTAGGTTCTTACAATCAAGGCAAAATGTCCGTCTGATTTCTGCTCGAGTTTTGCCATGCCAAACTATTGAGCTCAATTTCGCCAAGAGTCGAGGTAAGTTTATCTTATTTGCAAAATCAAACTTTCTTCATCTCTTTTCATTGCCTCAAAGTTGCGCGCTTGATTGGTCGAAAATTGAAAACACGAAATCTGCATAGGGAACTAATGTTATTTCATTGTGGCAGGTGTAATATACAATCCCACAAGTACCATTTTTGTAAACGTGCCCATAATTTCCAAGCTGCAATGGCACCCTTTCACTATAACTTCAAACAGCAGCTTAGAATCGGAGAATCTTAGTGTGCTTATCAAATGTGAGGGCAGTTGGACTAAGAATTTATACGACAAGATTTCATCTTCTTCCTCCATTGACCATCTTCAAGTCTCGGTTGAAGGACCGTACGGACCCGCCTCGACAAGTTTTCTCAGGTTTTGTAATATTTGTGATTAATTACCAACAATACCTCTAAGGTTAAGTCTAATTGCAAAACAACCCACTAAATTATTAAGGGTGTGTTTGTCTATCAGATATCTTAATTAAACTTTAACTCAACTCCACTATTCTCGATATTATCAATATAATTAAATAATATCAATCAATTATTTTTACACATAACATCCACTACAAGAAACTGATGAAATTTCAATGGAAATATATTCCAATAGAATTCCAACGGTAATTCCAATGGATATTTCAATGTTATTATTTCCGTTGGAATTATTCCAACGGAAATTTCTACAAAAATATTCCGTCGCAATGAGTTTCTCATTGGAATTTCCGTTGGATTTTGACGATTCCAACAGTAGATTTTCCAACGGTGGTGGAAATAAAAATTCCAACGGAAATTGCATATTCCAACGGAAATTCCTATGGTGAAAAGCCATTGGAAGTATTGCCGTTGGAATCATCAAATTTCATCTAAAATTCCAATGAAAAATACATTCCAACGGAATATTTTCGTTGGAATTTCCGTTGGAATCATTCCAACAGAAGCTATACCATTGGAATATCCGTTGGAATTTCCATTGGAATATATTACAATAGGATTTTTCGTTGGAATATAACAATTTATTTTGTAGCCATCAACTTTAATTTACTATTCATCTACTCACATAATTTTAACTAAATATCACTTTATATCATCTATCTCTTACTTTTACATCAAATCAATTTTAATTATTTTATTTTAAATATTACTTTAATATAAAATCAAAATCTCACTAACAACTAACCATACAACTTTTTTCAAAATTAACTCTGGTTAACTAAAATAACTCATTTTGAACGGATATATTTGTATACAAATGGCATTTACTTTCCAGATTTATTATTATGTTAATTTTTTGAACTAAAAAGTGCGCTTCAATCTTGACCGTCTCATCGTCTCATTACGTACGAGACTGTACTACACGAGAGCTTCCAATATTTTTAATTAAAATTTTACAGGTATAATATGTTGGTGATGATCAGTGGAGGAAGTGGAATAGCCCCATTCATTTCCATTATTAGAGAGCTAATATTCATGAGCTCAAGTACTCAAAATTGCAAAATCCCCAATATGATTCTCATTAGTGTGTTCAAAAACACCTCACACCTCTCCATGCTAGACCTCATACCCCCGATTTCTCACACAATGTACTCTTGCAACTTGGGCCTACGAATCGAGGCCCACGTGACAAGAGAGAAGGCCCAGCCCACAGACAAACCACACCCCATCCGAACCATGCAGTTCAAGCCGAGCCCATCTGACGCCCCTATCTTCCAGGCACTGGGCCCCAACAGCTGGCTATGGCTGGCCACGATTATATTGTCGTCTTTCGTCATTTTTCTCGTGTTTCTAGGGATTTTCACGCAATACGTGGTGTACCCTGTTGACAAAAACACCTACTTTTCGTACTCTTATGCTAAGAAGAATTTGATGAACATTTTCTTGATATGCGGCTCCATAGTGGTGGCTGCAAGTGGTGTGTTCATGTGGAATAAGAGGCAGAATGCAAAGGAGGACATGGAAAAAAGTGGAAACACATTTGGGTCAATGGATGGTGTGGAATTAGAGAGCTTTCCCCTGCAGTCAGTTGTGAAGTCCATCGACGTGCATTATGGTCGAAGGCCCGATTTAAAGAGTAAGTGAAGTTCAAATCTTGAGTATTGCCATATTTCTCTTTAGTTTGATTTCCAAGAGGATATTTTTATGAATAATAGAAATTACACCCGAGGTTATGAAAAACTTGAAAAGCTTGAGTTATCTCTCAATATTATTGAAATAGACTTTGACATAATATACATGTGACATATGTTGTTTTACACATTACTATATATCAAGCATTTTGGGAGAGCCAAAAAGTACCATCTTTTTTGTGGCTTGCACCTAGGTCAATTTGGAAGCTCTAGTCATAAATATGGATATAAAAGTGTACCATGGAGTACTTTTAATTTTTTAAAGATAGCACTATTTACTTACTAATAATCAGATTAAACCTTTAAATATTATTTTTGTGTAATAATCCACATCTTTAAAATTAGCCTTCAGGGGCTTTGATATGGGCATTGATTTATACTTTGGTAGGGATTCTAATGGGGATCCAAGAGTCAAATGTTGGAGTACTTGTTAGTGGGCCTAAGGAGATGAGACATGATGTTGCGGGTATTTGCTCAACTGGGCCAGCAGAGAATCTTCATTTTGAGTCCATCAGCTTCACTTGGTGATGATATTTTCGCTGCATAATTAGAGTACAATACATAATAATACTGACACTTGCATCTACCATTTGGAGCAACTGTATGATAAATAAGCAAAGTAGTGCAATAGAACAGGTATCAGGTATGTAAGACACTAGTTTGTTTTGTATTTGATGAAAAGTAGTATGTCAAACACTTTTGTAATTTTCTTTTTAGGGATAATTTTGGAAAATAGCTATAGAACAGGCGGAAAAAAGATTTTGGGTCGAATTTTATAATAACCAGTTCAATACACTTATAAAGGTAGCATGTCATTATGGATTGATTCGGTTAACAGTCAACAATTGGTTGAACCGGCCAACAATTGGTTGAACCGGCCAAAAGTGAATTGGTCGTACCGGATTTTGGATATGTATTAGAGTATTAATTTAGGCATCAAGTATATTAAGTAATTTAAATAATTAGTTAATATATAATTTATATCTATATATATAATTACTAGCTAATAGCATTTAAGAAACCTATTTAATAAACCTCTAAAAAAATTTTCCCTCCATTTCCGATTATAAAATTTATCAATAATTTTTTTTTTTTACTTCTCACATTAATACATCATATTGAGTATAATCATGTATTTTTCTATTATATTATATAACAATTAATGCTAATACCAACTAATAATAATTCACAATAAATATAAAATGCATAATTATAAACAATTGTTTCAAGTTATTTATTTTAACATCAATATTATTTTTTCTTTTGCATCTCATGAAAGAATTTCTTTAAAAACAATTAGTAAATTGTTTTAAGGGTAATTCTACCGTCAGCTACCCCTCGTACTTGCCTCGTACATGCATAACAATAGGTATGCCTCAAATGAATACCAAGTGTCCCTAAGGATTTGTGTAAATACTGAAATGCTCTTACTGAATAAAAACTTGTAATGAATTTACATAAGAGGTCTTTAAGTACTGATTTCTTAACATTGATGCTAGATATAATTACATATTTCAATTAAACCACCAAAATTTTATAAATTGTATTTCATTTTATTTGTTTCAATATTTTCATTTTTTCCGCATATCAAAAACCCCCAAATCTGCGAGATCGACGCTGCCTCACCACCGGCGACCGTCTGGTGCTCGACGAGAGTTCACACTCTATTATCATTCGAGAAAATCCAATAACAATTCAGAGTGGGTCTATGTGGGTAGCTTGCCCGATCATAACATATTTATCGATATCGATGGGGATAGGGGTAGTGGGCCGGGCCTGCGGGTATAACAACTTGTGCAGCCTCGAGAATTGGGGGCCCGTCTGCCGCTGCCCGTGGCAAGTGAACCGCGAAATCTCTGAATTGGACGAGAGGTACGCTATTATTGTGAAAACATCAGGCATCCCTGAGTAACCAAGATCTACTAAAGAGAGTGTTCACGCTGGTCGACCCGAATAACCGATACGGAGATTGCAGGCCGGAATTTTCAGGGAATAGCTGTACTCATGGCGGCCCGGGTGATGACGAGCTGGTAGAGATTTCGGATGTCGACTGGCCGAAAAATGACCGAACATATAAATCCGAGCACCGTGCGCGAGTGCAGAGATGCTTGTATGAGTGACGAGTTTCAAGGGGTCGCCATATTCAGGAGCCCGAGCTGCTGGAAAAAGCGGATGCCTTTGTCTAATGGGAAACTCGACACAGGATTGGGTTCTGTTGCATTTCTCGAAGTTAGAAAGGGTTGGGTAAATCAGTTGGACTGATTTCCTAACTGTATTTATCTTTTGAATCTAATGAGTGATGGAATAAGTTTGGTTGGTGTAGTAATGAAATTTTCAAAGTTCTATCTTT